GCTTTCCAAGAGAATGTAATTCTTCAGATTCAGAGCCTGAGTTTGGGTTTTATGGTGAGGATGTGACAAACATTCATTCTCAAGTGACAGAGGAGATGCAGAGTGAAAACCCTGTACGAGATGTAGAATGTTCAGAGTGTGGTGATGCTCACACTGTTTTAGAAATACCAGTAATTCCATGTCAGAATGAAATTTCTGATATTCAGCTAGTAGCTGAAGATGGTGATACTGAAGTAGTTGATGTAATGACTGATGCTCATGAGATTACCTTACAGACTACTGCTCCTACTGATAATGAAACTCAGCCAGAGGTTGTACTTCCTGAAGTACGCAGATCAAGTAGGGAGAAGAGGCCTAATACCATATTTACCTATGATAAGCTGGGTTTGCCATACATACAGTCTGTATCATCTCAACTCTGTGGCTTTAATGTAGCTGCTACCAAAATACTGAATGTTTCTGAGGGTTACAACAGTTCACATGCTTGGAGATGTAATTCTAATGCCTTGTGTGAAATATGTAACAACCGACCTGTACTTGTGCCCTATGAAAAGACGGTTACCATTTAATTGATGCATGGTAATTTTTGTAACCAGCATGGGGACATACTGAATTTTTGGTGAGGGGAGTGTGTAGGGACTCCTAAAATATACTTTGTGTTTCATATGCTTTGTGTCAGAAATAATAGAAAGTATTCAAATGTATTTTATTTTTTTTTATTTCGAAATATGATGCAACAATTATGTTTTGCTTATATCCAATGAGAAAGTGTGTTCAGTACAGGTGTACTATTGTAAGCCAGTGACTGTTGAGCTTGACATTGTGTCATAACGTGAGTCACGTAATGAGGAAAGAGAGGTATCGCACATGGCGAGAGAGTGCTGCCAGCAAGATCTGCTGTCTCTATGAAAAAAGTGCGTCATCCTTTTGGAGACTACTGTATTCATTGTAATATAAGGCCCAAAGTGTAGAGTGACGACACTTGTTTTATAAGACAGTTGAGAAAACTTGCAGTTCACATCATACACTGTTTACCTGATCTTGAAAGATATATTTTTGTTTTTCATTAGCCTATTGTATTACGTTGTTCTGGAGGAAACGGAGTGTTTTACTAGAATAGGGTTCTAAATTGATGTTATACATATCTTGATTGAGTTAGAGTATTCTAAAAAAAGAACAACGCTAAGGCTAAGGGAGTGTAATACGTGTGAAAGAACAAGAACCGTTCTGAGACTACAAAAGAGGTTTACATTTTTTATTTAAAAGAAAAGAAGCAACTTGCATATCGTAAGGCATAATTGTTTATCCGCTTTTTTTAAAAAACAAAAGGGTTGTTACTGGTTTCTTCATTTACGGTTTTCTTTAAAAAAAATAAAGGGAGTTATTACATTAATGTACAAATAAATCTTTGTTATTCTTTTACTCTTTAACATTTGTACTTTGGTATTTCATTGAGTCTGGCAAGTTAATTCATTTAAGAAGTAATGTATTATCTTATTTATGAACACAGTGGTTTGTAGTGCAAACAGTTTTACCATTTACTGTACGTTGTTATTCTCCTCGTTATTTACCTATAGGAATTGAACTCGGGTTGCCGTGAGCACAGTTGTGCTATATGTTGGGGCACTAACCACTAGACTATCAGCGCCGACAGGCCTATTATTATTATTATTATTATTATTATATTATTATTATTATTATTATTATTATTATTAATTAATTAATTTATTTATTATTATTATTATTTTTTCATTTTTATATTAAAAATACAATTAATTTATCCCACAATATTTACCAAATAACTGACGTGCTGCGAGGATAACAAAAGATTAGGCTACTTAATCCTCACTTAAAATATTTTTTAAAAAGGTATTTTAAAACAGGTATATTATACAATGAATTATAGGCCTACAATTAAAATATTAACACTGCAGTCATCAATAAAAATAAATGAAATAAAAAGCTTTTATTTCAAGCACAGACTTTCAAAAACAACCTGTTTAACATGAAATATGTTTCTTCTAATTTAATTTTTTTCACTATGTAATATTAGAAATATTAAGGGAATAAATTAAAACAGTTAGCTATATACCGTTATTAGCATATGTTGAAGTAAATTAGTCTCTCATCATCTCTGAGAGTATGCGGCGTCATATGCCGAAAGCTATGTCATTACTCCATACTTCCGTTTTTACTTTCACTTTCTGCATATGGTGAATTGGCTGAGATTAAGACATTCACCAGCATAACTCTTGCACAAAGTTTGCACGTTGCCTGTGTGTGATATCAATTGGCTCGCCTTCATGGTTTAAAACAGAAATATTTCCAACATTGCGACATAACCAATTACCCCCGTACCGAACCATGAATTTTGTCAACCGTTACATCCCTAATATATATATATATATATATATATATATATACTTTTCCCTCCGGGGGGAGAAATATGATGTTTGTACAATTCTGTCTGATGTTATAAATGAAGTCCTGATGAATGTTTTTGAAGATTTTATGGTCCGCCCCTACATCTGGTGATGTCTGGCATCTGACACCGACATGCCCGGGGAGGAATCCGGTTGCATTTTTGGTCACTCTCTCTCTGGAGATGTGAGAAAGAAGATATTGGTTTTAAGGATAATATCAAAAATAAGTAAACAATTTTAACATATCACAATATGTGAGTGTGTGTGTGCGCACACATATAATCTGATGAATGTATAAAATGACTATCAGCAATATAAAAAAAGGTATTAAATAACACATCTAATAATGAAATTGAAAATAAACATTGGGCTTAATGAATGAATAAATAAGAAGCTTTAAGCTAAATTAATAAATCAATAAATTAGTAAAAATAAAATCCCTTACATTTTTCTGTGAGAAAAAAGTTTTCCTAGTGCAAGGATGACCAATGTCTGAATGAGGGGTTTACAAAAACCCCTAAAAATCTCTGTCCCTCTCTCTCTCAAACTCAAACGTCCGAGTCTTATTCTCTTCTTTTAAATTAAATTAATATAAATAAATTATGCGATCATACACAATATAAAACAATGCAAAACATTTACACTAGTTTTAGTCATCACTAAAAATACCGTACATTTTACCAGGAGTGGGAAAAAGAGTTTGCCATGTAAGAAAAAGTTATCGGTCAATTATAATGAGGAGCCAGCGACATCAAAATAAGTAAAGGGGTGAAAAAAAAACAGGTAAAAAAACGTCTCGGTTACGACGAATTGGGATCTCGCTTAGAGGGACCAATCTACTTCGAGTGTAAACTAAACGAGCCAATGCACATTGGCATGCGATTATTGCATCCAGCTGCTGCTGATCACAGCGTGAGTATAAGTAGGCAGCAGATGCAGTGCATATTCAGGTTTTCGCTGAGGAGCCGAGCCGATGACCCACACAGCTACAGCTCAGAAAATTGAAGGAATGAGTTAATGGAGTTGCATGTAGTTTCAAAGTTCTAACACTCGTTTCCACGAGTGGTTTTAAATTCACCTGAGAGAATTCACAAAGCAGAGGTTTGTCTTAAGTTTACTGCTTAACGCAATTCACCAGTTCAACACCGATTTCAGCAGATAGGAGCTTTGTTTGTTTACTTGCGTTTTGCTTTGGATGACAGCTGAAAAGTGGAGTTGTTCCTCGTTGCTGACAAAGGCATCCTGAATGGCTGCTGAGGGAATCCCAGAGCTTTCGGATTGGTCGCTGAGATGACGTTTGGGTGACGTCCTTTCGGGGAAACCCTCGGTGGGTTGGTTGGTTGCCGGGTTACGGAAGAGGCTTCAGCAGTCCTGCTAAAAGCCTGAGTTTGCAAGACTTTAAGTTCTTTGAAGATCGCGAAGGTTCAAACTGAAGTGTGAGTTCTTAGATGGTCTCACTGTGCGGTGTTACGGTGTGGGAGCGCTTTTGTCGCGCTCACCAAGGCGGAAAGCCAAAGGGTCTTGAGAGAGAGAGAGCGAGTGAGCGCGTAAGACTTTGTGTCCAATTTTAAGCAGGCTGAATTTTGTCCACCCCACAGATCGTGGTCCAATCAGATGGTGGCTGTGGGGTTTAGCCACGCCCCATACTGTTCCTTATCATGCATGAATCACATGCTGTTTGTGGGGAGTATTTCTGCAAGTTTTTAAGAACTTCTTATAAAAATATCATCACCGGAAAATGATGCCGAATATCAATTTTTCACTTACACCAATGTTCTGTGAATAAAACAAGCTCTCACCCGATACTAAACTTCACATATCTTACACACATATTAAATGCTTTGTCTGCTAAAAAATAGTTATAAGGTAAATATTAAAATATCATAGATTCCAATAAACACATCAAATATATATATACGGCATAACACATACAGTGGATACATTTTCACTACTTAGGAGTTTTTAAACGATTTGTCTTTTAAAATCGTCATGCAAAGTTCTGTTTCTTTCACTACTTATGAGTTTTTAAACGATTTGTCTTTTAAAATCGTCATGCAAAGTTCTGTTTCTTTTGTCGTAAGAAAAGTTTGTAAGGGTTCCAGACAGGGCAGGATCGCAGGTGGTCAAGTCATGTGGCGTCACGCTGCATATCCCTGCTGGCAGGCCTGAGGGCGTGATTAAATTACTGTCCTTTTCCTGTTTGGACATAATAGTTCCATCCATTGGTTGCTGGGTGATTAGCAAACCTCATGATGGCTGATAGGGGCATAGCAGTGTCCGTTAATGTACTAGAAATCCCTACAACTCCATAGACATAATTATTTTTTTACTATACAAACTACACCTACCCCTCACACAAAAAAAATTCTGCATATGCTTCCATTTTTAATTAAATATTGTTTGTAAGCAATATTAATTATGAGGACTCAAGAAATTTCATCATAAACCACATTTATGTTGTTATAGCAGAGCAATACCTATTTCAGTATACAAACTTGTGTCCTAATAAATCATATAAGAAAGAAGAAAAACATTTAATTTAAAATGTTTGTTTAGACAACAACTTAACTTCTCGGGACAAAAGGCTGATACAGAGAAAAGACATTCTTTGGATGCCCACTGACTTTTCACAGTAGTAAACTGTGCTTGAACGAAACAACATATGTGACGTCTTCACCCTGAGAATATTTAATTGCACTTAAAAAGCAAAGATTAAGTTAAATGAAAAAACATACACCACAACAGACTCCCGATGTCTGGCTGTAGAAAATACCTACAGTACGCTGTTAAAACTAGTATACAATAGGCCTATGTTACAATTAAACTTACATTTTAAAGTGGCTTGTGTCTCGGGTATATGATTGTGTGTATGTATATGATTTTACTTTTTTTTTATTTTTTTTTTACAAAGATTCAATTTCAATTCAATTCCTAGAAAATATAAGACCAAAACTTGATATTACAAAAAGAATCATGTTGAAACTTAAAATGAATTCACTAGTAAGAATACATTCTGAGGAAGATCCAGGGATTGGAGTGAGCTCTGATGCAGACTCCGGGGCCAGAACAGACTTGATACAGCACTCTGAAACTTGAGCGGACTCATTACTGGACTCTGGGACTGGAGCAGACTCATCACTGGACTCTGAAATGGATTCTGGAACTGAAGTCAATTCTGGCCAGAAATTGGGAACTTGAGCCATTACTGAATGCTTAGCCTTACTCCGCTTCCTTCTTTTGGCAGAGGTTATGGGAGCCATTGTCTCAGGAACGGGCTCTGGGTTTAAAACTGGAGTGGAGTCTGAGACTGGAATGACCTCTGGGACAGAAAAGATTATTCCGATGTCCAGGGAAGTGGAGAGTTTGATGGCAGGCTTGGGGTGACTTGGAGCATCCATATGTCTTTGCGATGGGCAATTCTTAACTTCTTCAACAACAAAATCAGAAACATTAAGCCAGAGAATGAGATTAATAGATTAAAAGGGTAAACAACCCCCAGGAGACTGACGCTGAATCACATCCTCATCCAATCCATCTGAAAACAATCATAGAGCGTTCAATTACTCCAACTCACCAGATGGGAGAACTCCAAAAACTCCTCCACAAATCGCTCCAGAGACTGTCTTGCCAGGGAGGAGGTCGACCGCCTCGCTGGAGAGAGAGAGGATGAAAACTTCAGCCCTCTTCATGTTTTGTTAGGTCTGGTCTTCTTTCAGCAATACACAGGAGAACACTCAAGTAAGTAGCTGTAACAACGGGCTAATTTTGCAGCGCAGCAGCAGATCAAGATGGCAAGTGCAGGTAAGTAACCACAGTTCAGATGAGCAGGTAATGGAACTTAGCTGAGATTATAGTAACAGTACTTTCTTGGTTTCAGATGGCTAAGGAACAAAGCTCCAGGCTGAGCTCTGGTAGAGGAGCAGAGAACACTAGAGTGCACACTGGAGGAGCAGACACTGGGAGGCGCTATGGAGGATCGGGCACCGGAGGGTGCTCTGGAGGAGCGGACACTGGAACTGACGAAGGAGGACTGGGCGGACCCTTCAGGGGCTCAAGATATGCAGGATAGCTGGACGGGGCTAGCGGAGATGAAGGAGACTCGGGAGATGATTCTGGAGTGGACTCTGGAGAGCATTCTGGAGCAGATTCTGGAGAGCATTTTGCAGCAGACTCTGGACTAGGAGCAAACTCTGGAATTGGATTCATGGACTGGAGCAGGATCCTGGCTGAGCTCTGAGGTGAGAGCGGGCACTAGACTGAGCTCGGGGGCTGGAGCCTGCACCAGTAGATCAAGACGGCAAGTGCAGGTACGTAACCACAGTTCAGATGAGCAGGTAATGGAACTGAGATTATAGTAACAACAAGTTCCTGACAAGGAGTCAGGTAAGAGTCACAGATAGCAACCTTACATAAAGTCCAGATAGGTGATCAAATGTGAGAACAAAGGGAAAGTCAAACTTGTCCTAGGCATAGATGAGACCAGACAATGTGTGAGTGCTTGGTGCTGTCTTATAAAGGCCCACTGATGAAGCTAATGGCAGAGAGGTGCAGTGATTTTGGACTGTGAGCAGGTGTGAGCCAGGGAGGATTCTGGGAAATGTAGTTCTCAATTCAATTCAATTCAATTCAATTCATGTTTATTTGTATAGCTCCGTTTACGATACAAATCGTTGCAAATCAGCTGTACAATATATGTTTCTACAATATATTTGAGAGGGAGTAAAATCTTTGCGTGGCAGGGGCAGCTGCCACCGGACCGGCCACCGCTATGTGCGCCTGCCACCGGACCGGCCACCGCCAAATGCGCCTGCCACCGGATCGGCCACCGCCAAATGCGCCTGCCGTTGTAGGAACTACATTGATATTTATCAATGTTTATTTGTATAGCTCCGTTTACGATACAAATAGTTGCAAATCAGCTGTACAATATATGTTTCTACAATATATTTGAGAGGGAGTAAAATCTTTGCGTGGCAGGGGCAGCTGCCACCGGACCGGCCACCGCTATGTGCGCCTGCCACCGGACCGCCAACCGCCAAATGCGCCTGCCACCGGATCGGCCACCGCCAAATGCGCCTGCCGTTGTAGGAACTACATTGATATTTATCAATCGGAGTGTAAACAGAGATGTTGAGGCAGGCGTGACTCTAAACTGTGGCAGGCACTTGGCTCTGACCTAAGTGGCTGCACAAAAATACTTACTGCAGATTTCTGACTGTTTACACTCCGATTGGTGCACAGGAGCAAACAAACAGTTCAATTGTACGTGTATTTACCTTTATGTCACTGTACCTTATATTTTATTCCTTTAAATCCATAATGGAGCGCGCGTCTCGTTGCACCTAAGCGTCCCGCCTGCTCTGATTGATGCGCGTAAGGAAACAAAATGCAACTCTGCCTGCCCCAGATGACACTTCACCAGTCAGATCTAGGCACAGCTGTCACAGAACATGCTACAGCCAAGGTGAGTTCACTTAATATTTAAAAAACTTTTTTTGTTGTTGTTAAATATTGTTCAAGGACCTTTGTAACTAGTACGCTGGTGAGTAAGTGTATTAGGTTATTTTAATTATACAGTCTTTATACAAAAACATTTTGTTTAAATGTTTGTCATTCAGCAACACTGAAACAACAGCTTTATTTATTTGTATGTATGCAGAGCTCAGACACCATTCTACAACACTGGCAAAAATATGATTTGGAAGGTATGTCATTTTGACTTTGAAGAAAACTTAAAAAGGCAGCATATATTAAAAAATACCTTTTTATTTGTTTATTTTTTAGACTTAACCATACAACAAACACGATAAAGATAACAGGTAAGGGCACACAGAGAAGAAAGTCAGCAATATAATGTAATATGACAGAGGCATACAACAGTGTTGCCATCAAAACCACTTTGGATCAGAATCTGAGGATACTCTGTAAAAGAGAAAGATTAGAAGTATGTTTAGGCTTATAAAATACATAGAATGAACATGACTAAAGGGAACATTAAAATCAAGAAAAATGTAATTTAAAAAAGCCACTTTAACACATTTACTCTAAATGTCCCTTTGTTTGCAAAGCCATTTCTGCCTTGAATCTATGGAAGCCCTCCGTCTTTTTTAGGATGAAGAGGGATACCTTTGAATGACCAAGAGCAGAAAGAGAAGAAAACTGTTTACAATGCATTTAATTAAATTGTCTTATATATGATTTACCAATGCATTCAAACTTTTTAAATGAATAATAATTACCTCAGGAGTTAGGACTTCCAGAACGTAGGATGTATTACTTAATTCTGTCATGTCCATCTGTGTGACTCTTTTAATTCTGTCAATGATCCCCTCTGTCTGTTGGCAAAAGGCATTACATTTAGCTTTATTATATTAGTTATATCTGAAGTTAGCTTGTTACCAAATTATTTGACATTTTTTAGTAATAGTTGCAATTACTAGTTTGTATTTTTTCACACACACACACACACACACACACACACGAAACCATTATTTTACCTGTTGTTCATCAAAAAAAAAAATCCTTTCATTAAGTCTCATCTTCAGCTTAGGACAAAATGTTGGATGGTTATGCAAAAACATCCTGTTTGATCTTATTTTGCCACTTGTCAAGCCATTGTGTAGTTCCTACAATGTGCAAATAATGGTTATTTTAAACAAAACCACAGTATTTGTTTGAAGCAAGTGTAAAATATGGATATTCTTCAAATTTGTAGATTTTCAACCAAACAGGAGGCATGGTAAAGTCGAAGATGAATCAACTGGTCAGTGTGAAGCAACTCAGGAGACATTTTGAGACCTTCTGCTTCTATCTCTGCCATCTACGAAAATGTAAAGGAAATTTGAAGAATTTGCTGTAATAATTTTTTAACAGTATTTGTTTACTTTCCCATAGCATGCATTACATAAATATTAATGTATATACAAAGTTGCAAACATAAACTCATACAACTCTATCCACTCACTGTGCAAACAAAAACACCACAGTTGTTTCCATAATTTCTCCGCCATTGCTGTGGACTGCACACAGTCCACCTATCCAGGGCGTCTACATTTCTAAAGGCATCTCTGGAAGAAAGAAATTGACTTAAAGCAGACTGTACCCAAGTCATGAAATGTTTTTAAAATAACTGTGTAAAACATAAAATATGTAATTAAAATGTATTACTTCAGAATGTCCATATCTGAGGGTGAAATGTTCATGTGACGTCCTGTGTTGTCATACATCCTTATTTGTTTTTCGGTCTTGTCAAAAACCTGATGAATAAATTCAATAAAGAGCCATTTTAAAGCAGTCACAAATACATTTGTTTGTACTTTTTTGGCTTGTCTATAATAACATTGTAGACAAATCACATCTATATACTGTATAATCTAATTTTGTTCCTCATGTAATGAACATTGCTAGAGTTGTACTAACCCAAAGAATGAAGTGGCATCCTGTTTCTGGTGTCCTATCCATGCCAACAATTCTTGGTAGAAGTGTTTTCTGTGCATCATTCTGAAATGAAAGAAATGGGAAACACATGTTCATGAGGCATTTGTGACATTCATAGGATGTAGAGGCAGGATTGCTTTAATGCATTTTATTTGAGAAATTGAACAGTACCTCAAGAATTTTCAGATGTGAATCAGAAATATTTCTTGAAGCCAGCCAGTCCCTGTACCACAAAATAAATGTGTCAGTTGTCAAGGCTGCAACCTGAGGATAGAACAAAATTACATATAAATTGCACTTCTTTCACCTGCTCATAATGCTCGTTTGCATTTACAGTATATGAACATGATTAAAACTAGTGAAAAAAAGTAAAGATTCTGAAGCAGTTACTTACATTCTGGTTTTCTGAGGCAATTTGTGCAATCCGACAATTTACTGTCTTTAAAGCAAAATATGAAGATGCATAGTAAGACAGAGTATTCAAATATATTGTGTATTTCCATATCTACTTGTACATCTTATATAAGGTGACAATTATCTGTATGTGACAGTTGAGTAATCAAGTAAATTTAATCATTATTAAATACTAAAATCATAAGGTAACCATAATTGGTACTTACATTGTCATATAGCCATGGCATCAGTTGGCTACTGCTGTCTTTCAAGAGATCGGGTGGGCACAGACTTTTCAGATCATGTAGTTCCAACGAGGCGAAACGAGATATTTTAGCAATGACATCATGCTCTCTCTTCTCAACAGCATACAGCTGTCTGATTTTGTCCTAATGATGCAGAAGATGTGTTAATGATTTTATATTCCTATTAATAGTAAATATTATTACTACTGACATGTGACAGTGGTGCTAACCAGCACACTTGTTACCTTATTTTTCTCATTAATTGGAAACATTGCCACTGAAAAATGGTAGCCACCCACAGTAGCACTGCCAGTAGGACTGTCCCCCTTTACTGGAGCCTGAGGACTTCTGGACTGCTGTTGACTGTTGTCAGATTTTCTTGTGTGTGTTCCTGTAATTAATTGAGAAATAGTAACATAACATTAATAAATTAAACTTTTTAATAAATTTCATATTACAGTGTAATTTTTAATCTTCACGTTCTTACCTGTTTGGCCACATATCAGTTTGCCATCTAATCCAATGCGTATGGCCTCTGCTGTACTCTGTTTTTCCATTTCCTTCATGAAGGAGCTATTCAGTCTTTCATTGTGCAGGTGAAAAAACAGACGTAGTGAGAACATGTAGTGGATGTCCTTCATTTGACACAGTGAGTACCGACTTGAGGAAAGCTCTCTGTTTATTTGTTCTGCTGCTGAAGAATTAATCAGACAAGCCAGATCTGGAATCAGTTTCAGACTACGCAGTCTCTCTTCAGGACGCTTTTGTTTTTTTTGGTGAAATCTGTCATACAGTGAGTACCGGTCTGATGTCCTTGTCTCAGGGTGTGGACATGAGAATTGGTCCATTTCTTTGGGTTCTTCTGCATGTCTTGGTTTCCTCCTGATTTTCTTTAACCACTCAAGATTTACCGTTAACTTTCCTGCAGCTGCCAGTGATATGTTTGTGTCCGTTGGTGCACATACCCTTCCGTCATTTGGCTGGAAAAATCTCTGTTGCGTACGATTATTAACATGCCTGGCAACACGTCCAGCGATGTCAGAGATGTACACAGTGGGGGGATATTTAAAACTTAGCAGAGCATCCCCGTGGTCCCGTGCAGATTCCTGCCACCATAATGGTGATGTATAATATACAACACCATGGGTGCAGCCCATGTGTAATACTCCACCTGTGTTAAAGTGACAAGAATGACAAATTACATACATGTTTTCTGCATAGATGATGGTACTTAAACAAGATAAGTAACAAAATTATAATACACAAAATAATTATTGACACTGAAAAACAATATCTTACCTCCAGCTTTTTTCAGCTTTAAAAACATTTTGGGGTAAACCTCCTTATAAAGGAGAAGTTCTTCCAGCCTGTTTATAAGGTCTGTTTGTGAGCCAGTTGTTGACACTCCAAGACAGCTGCATGCCTTCACCAGGTCTTCTCTTTTGTGCTGTGGAGAAATTACTATCTGTTAGTGTTGTTCATGGGAAAAAAAGTCAATAGCGATACATTGAGTGCTTACATGAATACTGTAAGACTACAGGTATAAATATTTACTGATTTAGAGTCCAGTATTTGTAAAATTTGGTCTTCATTAACGTCCTGGCTTTCACGGCATACAGAGCTCACCCTTTCACTTTGAGAGAGACCTTTGAAAACTTCAGCTTTTGATAGCTTGTCATGTAGTCTTGTGTGTTGTCCAATCCAAGGAGCAAAATACGAATATGTCAGTGCACTTGAGAAAGGATTGTTAGAGGAGTCTGAGGAATATAATTTTTTTAAGATTAACATCAGTTAATTTTTTTCTCTACTGCTACAAGACCCAAGGCTTTATCCTTAATGTTAAAATGTAATATGTTATTAAGACACATTATTAACATCAATGCCAATAGTACTGTTAAACAATTGAAACGGTATTTTCATTGGTACCGTCACAAAATCCAGTGGCAATGATCTCCTTTTCCAGGTTCTCCCATCTTGCTGCCACATTAACGAGGGTGTCCTGGAGGCCAATGTTCTGAATGTCCAGGCGTCTCATGAGATTGACTGGAAATTATATAATAAAAGGGGTTGTGACAAGTTGTATGTGAATGTGTGTTATGTTGAATGCCTAAATGTTGTGTTAAGAACATTTACAGATCAGAGGGTTTGTATTCAGATTTTACACTCACCTGGTATATCAAATGCAACTTTCCAGTTGGTGTCTGCTATGACAATGGATGGATGATAACCACAGCGGTAACAAAAAAAATTGTACGAGTACTGCCTTAAAGCACTGAAATGGTAGAATGCCTTTCTTAGCATGTTGATTGGCAAAGCAGTTCTTGAATGGGATTCGATTGTTCTAAACAGACGACCCACAGCAATATGATTCTGTGGAAAGTAAAGTTAATAAAGGTTTTACTCAACTGATCAACAGTTTTGCATGATTATTGTGATATCTTGTGAAACATGCCCTCTAAATATTGTAATTTTGTGTATACTTACTGAAACACCAGCAGTCAGGAGAGCATAAAGGGATTGACAGAAAAATTATGTGGTAACACTTTACTTGAAGGGGTGTGCATAAGACTGACATGACACCTTCATAATTATGACATGACACATGTCATGAATATGAAGGAGGTTGTATGCATGTTTATGACAACTGTCATTAAGTGTCATTCGCTCAGTTAGTATTTTGTTTCCAAGATCTGGAGGAGATGGGCCAGGACAGTATGGGCACTGTACTTCTAGTGGTTCAAAGTTTTCAGGAACAGGCTTCTCTGCTGTGGTTAAATCCACTGGAAGGTCCTCTGGTATTCTTTTTGAACTCCAGAAGTAGTTGGTTTCCATGATGATACTACTATGTGAATGTTGGTGGACGTTATCAGCAGCACTGATCATCTCCTCAACATCTTCAATATCCTCATTTGAGGTGTCCACTGCATTTTGTAACAGCTTGGGATGCTCTTGAAAAAGCCACCACATGGATAAGTATCTATGGACACAACTGATCCGATTTTTAGTACATCTGCACTGGCAGTGCCACTTACCAGTCTTACTATCAAATGTGCAGACTGTTCTTCCAAACTTACACCGATTGTCCTTTTGGCCTGTATACACAGAAAAGTATATATATCGCTCAGAAAGGCCGTGCTCACCCCAAAAAATAGGAAAGACACAGTATATATACTCCGAGTAAGACTGCTGGTTTACTGCAGTGCACTCTTCAAGTCTCGATTTTGAACAAAGTCCCTTTTCTTACATCTCCTGCAGGGACTCATTGCGTAGTGCTGGTGGAGGACTGTATGATGTTGCTGTCCTGGTCCTTTCTAAGTGAAAACATTCTTTCCCAGGGTTTCCACTGTTTGCAGCAATGCTCATGAAGTCTGTGCATGCCTGCACTTCACAGGCAATTTTTTGGTATTGGTAGTCTCATCCCATGATATTCTTTTGTTGTCACATATATTCCATTCACAGAATCAATGCATATCATTGGTTCCTGTCTGCCATGCTGCTGTCTTTCATGTCTTTGGTAGTTGGATGTGCTGGTGAAATGAATCCCACATTTCTTGCAGAACAGGTTCTCTTTCTGAACTGGGTCAACATGGATGGTGTTCAGGCAGGGTTTTCTGTCATATAAGAAATAATATGAAACATCACATTATGACATTTTCCAATTTATTTCATTTACTGTGTAGGATGGTCAGGTATTATGTGCTGACCTGAGGCTTTTTCAGGGAACATCAGACCTGTTGTTGGCACACCACAAAGACAAACAAACTAAATGTATCATTACAACATTAAATAATTAAAAAACAAGAGTACAAATTTCAAAATTGACAAAACACGTACCATGTTTTTTTAAGTGGCATTTGAAATCAAAAGACCTTTGAATTACTTTCTTGCACTTTGAACAATGCCAGTGGCTCATTCTACCACTTTGTTGATCAGGACAGTAACATGGTATTGAGAACTTGCCTACAAAGAGCAATTATGGAATTAACATGACAAGTAATGGATCTTGGATATTATGCATATTACAAAACATATTATGGTGATTTTACAAAATATTACATTGCAGATTATTAACAAAAATTCACAATTTTTAACAATTACTTACTTGTGTCACCATCTGTAAAGTGAATGGCAAATGTTAGATGCCGTTTGGATATATGATCACTGGATGCTGTAACAGATGTTCTGCAGTAACAGCAGTCCTGATCTCCTCCAAGGCTTAAAAGCTCTTTACTGACAAACTCAAACTTCCTTGCTGAAAAAGAAAAAAAAATTGAAAAAGCAGACCAAAACACCATCAGGATGACAAAGAATATTTGCTACAATATCACTTCATATTCTAAATCAGTAGTACTAAATCTTCTTTACTCCAAGGCCACCCTCCTCTCCGAATCAATACTGCAAAGCCCCCCCAACCTTTTTTATTCACAAAAACAGTTGTAATTCTAGTGTTATTACTTTACAATTTGTTATTATGTTAATGTTATTATTTTTTAACAAAATAAATTAAAGATAGATTTTAATCTAAAGTGTTTTGTTTTTTTGAAACATACTTTGCAAAAATGTCACTACAGAGTGTATTTACAAATTAACAATCCTTTTTAAATTATACAGTAACGTTAACAAATAAGAAGTCAACCTGTCATACCAAACAAGACCACAGGGAGACGCCAAATGACTGCACATAAACTACTAAACATGGCGACGTTTCCCAAAAGCATCGTAGGCTTAAGTACATCGTAGACCCATTGAAACCAATGGAGCTATGGTCAACTTAGGCTTACAATGTTTTTGGGAAATGCAGCCCAGATCCATTCAGAATCATTAAACACACCAAAATGCAAATGAAAAATGAAAACATTCTGAATGTGTGGAAACTCAGCGGTCTGAAGGTGGCTCCACATCATCAGTGAACAGTTTCTCTTTCAGAACAAGCGATCATGTCTGTATTTGGTGTCTGATGCCCGTGTACATTAACACCACCGATCCTCACAAACTTCCATAAAACACGCTTTTCTGCAAACATCCATTCACAGTACATTATTTTTGACAACTACGTGAATATACTGAACTGTGTTCAAGCAGAAATATGATGTTATAATCATGGCCGTAGTCAGGCTTTGAAAATTAGTGAGGTGAGGTGGGGGCTTTTTGGATTACTCTATGTTTAAGTGCCTTGCTATTAAAACAAACACAAACCGAAATTATTTCAAATCTTTTGCAAATATATAAATATGATAAAGATATCGCTGACCATAAACTGCACCTTCCTATTTTATTAATTTTCTAAAGTGTTAAATTAAGTGGAAAAAACAAATCCCAAAAACGTTTATAATAGCTGGATCTGGCAACATGGAGGCTGCTCCCACGCCCTCACTCACAACTCGATCATTCCGGCGTCTCACAATGATCATTTTCATACCACGGACGCTAAACATTCTTGCAAGCTGTCTAAACTAAATTATACATGTCATGCAGACATTCATAACACGAAAACTTTACTGAGGTCCGGACCTTGATGATCTCATGATCAGTGGACCGAGAGCGGACGTACACAGTTCGTCATATCACTACTACTCTTACTGAAGTAAGAAATGTTTTTAATGTTAAGAAAATGCTGAATTATTTTGCTTACCTTCCATGTTGTAAATTCTCCAATAATCGTCAACACCTTAAAAAAGTAAAAGTAAATATAGCGATTATATAAATTATTAAATTATTTTTTCCATGCAGAACATGTAGCTTCATCCAAAAATACTGTGTACTTACGCAAAAAAAAAAGATGTCCAGGTGTCCAGGTAGGTCCATCGTCCTCAAATCAACCAATCGGATTGCTCGGTTGAACACAGTTTAATGTAGTTCAACCAATCAAAAACTTGGTATGTTGCATTTCTTTATGTGTGAACGCTGGGGGTCATTGGTGTTGTATTTGTTTGTGGATGGGGTGGCTGGTTTCAAAGCAATAAACGTCCCAGGTCGAGGACAGGCCCCCCAAACCCCATGTAACCTGACTAATTTTAAAAGTAGTTATTTTTTGGTGCCTTTATTTTTTATACAACCTAAAATCGACGTTGACTCAACGTCTGCTTGCTATCTGTGGTGTGAAGTCACAACTCTATAATGGTACAATTTACTCAAGCCATGAGTAAATAAATGACATTTCAAATTATTTTTAGAATAATTGTACATAAATAGGTTAAGCAGAACAATTGTGATTATTTCGGAGAACTTTTTAACTGCAGGTAGACTTGGGCCTACATTATGGTGCAATACAAATATCTGGAACATCCCTTATTCTGTCCCTTATTTTCTTAAAGAATAAGATAAAGAATCACAACTGTCCCTTATTTTCCATTTCTTATGTTGATTGGCAATGATGACGTAATTATCTTTTGACTCCCCTGACAGCAGAACCTTGCTCAAAACAAAGTCATTGTTGGAGATATGCGAGCAAAACATAATAGACAAAAAATGTATAAAGAAAGCACAAAGCCAGCCCTGAAAGAGGTGTATGCCACTTAAAAACAAACTAGAAAATGTGCGCACATGCACGCAAACTCTGACCCAAGCGTACAAACTCATTTTCCTGGAGTGAGAAAATAAATGAAGTAAAAACAACGATTTTAAGCTCTGTTTTCATGTCGATATACACATTTACATTAAATATTCCACTCTCATTAATGGATATAAGGACTGAAATTAC